AGACAGAGCGGGGTGTGTGTGTTCGAATGCAGATCACTACCTTGTACTAAATAGAGTTGTGCCATTGTCAGTTTGATGCCAGACGCACTCTCTGGATTCTGATCGGAGAATTGCTGCAAAATAAATAAAAAAAAGAAGAAGAAAAAGATCAGTTAACAGAATTAATGAAACTATTAATTACTGAAGGACAAAATACAAACATTTTCATCCAAACCCAATAGTGTTGTAAGTGTTTTAGGGCATCTTTTTTTTGTATCCCTTTTTGTATTCCCATCTTCACAGTTAAGCATCACTTTTAACCGGGAAGACATTTTTCAGTATTTTTAAAAACAACGCAACCACAGTGAAAACATTTCGTAGATGAATTCTTGTAAAAAACAAAACAAAAAAAAAACTGTGAAAAAAGCAAATCTTTCAGTACTTTTTCCTGTTTCTATACTTTTTAACATTTTCATTGAAGGATTTTTAAAGTGCGATATTAACTATATATTTAATCAGCTTTCACCACTGTGATTTTTTAGGTTAACTGGTGCATCATTTGATCATTTTCTCATAATCAGACAAAAGGAGGAGAATGTGTATCGGTTCTGATAATAAGGAGCAGTGTGCATCATTAATACCTGGAGCAGCTCTATGGCCCTGCTGTGCTGCTTCTCTCTGCACAGCTGAGCCACCTGGATAAGGACTGGCCGTGGATGTCCTGGATTTTGAGCCTGAAGACTGGATGACAGCTTCCTGCACTGGTCAGCCTGTTAACGGGCAAAAGCACCATCAGTGTGAAAATAATTACCTATTATTGATTATTTTTCATTCCTCCTCCAATCACACCCGTACCTGGTTAGTGTACATGGCCAGCAAGGCTTTGTTGAAGTCAATGGCCTGCAGCTGTTTCTTTGCCAGCTTGTACTCAACACCTTCAGCATTCGTCAGCTTCACCTTTTTCTTTGAGTCAAACACGTTTTGGTCCTGAGGAAAGAGACCGAGCCTTAGCACCAGCGTCGTGGCTGAAATTTTAGTTTTATGATCCCTGTTTAGCGTCTGAAAGTGGATTTCAGGGAGGTTCAAACCCACCTTGTTTATGGTGATGATATTGTTGGCAGTCACAGCAAGCAGCCCCACGTCAGATGGCCTGAAATTAAATCAGAGAATTAGAGCAAGCTGAAAATCTATTTAATAACTTAATGCCTGCCTCTAGATGCTTCTGAACTGTCTAAATCCATCCCCATCATCTTTTCTGGGACTAAATTTGATGCGATGACGCCGCAACTCACTTGAGCTTGATGACCTGGTTGTAGAGCTGCAGAGCCTCATCTGTGCGACCCTGCAACTGCATGACGTACGCCATCTGAGAATGGATGACGGCCAGCTCTGACTGGATGTCCTCCTCAGTCATATCCTGAAAGGGACAAACAAGAAATGATGGTGATTAGCTGGAAAACAGTGAAAACTAAGTGTTACAAATACAAGATAATTATGAACAAGCTTAGCATATCAATACACATATATGGCCGAAATATGATTACAGCAAGGTTATTCCCATACAATTTTTATGTAAATAATGCATAAATGTAGAATATTTTAAGACTTAAAAGTATGTTAAGAGTGGAGTAAATTTCACTAGACTTGTGACGTACTTCTGGACCATCGTTTGGGTGAAATTACTAGAAGTGAAAGTGAAATAGGTCTCAAAAACACTTACAGAATCATCTGCCAGCGAGACTCTGCAAAGCTCTGTCAGAAGAAATGATTAGTTTATGTCTGAGATCATTACATCATTTTAAAAATACATCAAACACCAGCTTGATAGCAGAGACTGAATATAAACTGACCTTCTGCTTGCTGTAGTTTATTGAGGGCCTCTGTAAGCTTTCCTTGGCCAATCAGAGAACAGGTAGCATTGTAGCAGAGCTCATACGTTGACTCAGGCAGACCCAGATCTTCCTGCAAAAGGAAAACATAACATGTTCAAATATGAGTTTATTCTAATTCTAATCAAACAGTCTGACTCCAGTTCTGTGCAACAAAGTGGAGAGAGTACGTTTTTGATTTAAAAACTCAAATGAAAAGCTGATTGATGAACTGTGCCAATGAATGCTTACCATTGGAGCCTTCTCCCACTGACTCATTGCAGCCACCACAGCGGCGAGGTTGGTCTTCCTCTCCTCCTCGTACTCGTCCTGGGAGTTCCTGATCAGATCCGTGTAGACAGACTTGCACTCATCGTAGCGCTCCAGTCTGTACAACTGCACAAAGAAAAGAGCTGGTTCAGATTAGCAGACGTCGTCACACTTCTCACAACAAGACGAAAATAATATCATGTTAGAAATACACAGAAATTGCCAAGCTGACCATTTATTACAAATCTCTCATTCTCACTCACCAACCAACAAAACCCAAAACACTAGTGTGTTCTCAAAAGAATGTCTCACTGTAATAAATAATAATAGTAAATCATATAGACTGCATAAAGATTGTAACAAGCTGATATTCACAAATATTGGGGATAGTTTTAACAACATTGAAGTTACTTTAAGACAAACACAAATAGAGCAGTGGCGTTAAGAGGTGAAAATGCTACGCTCTGCAACCCTGATGTCTCCGTTTCAGAGAAAAATTGTTCAATTATACTTTTGCTTTCTGTTTTTTTACAGTGTTACTTTACTTAACAACATTTAAATGTTTTTACAATCATGTTTCAAAAACAGAAGCCACATATTCAAACAGCAAGCTGTTTGCATTTATTGTATACCGTTTAATTTGAATATGATTTGTTTGCAGTTCTGATGCTAGATGATCAGATTTTAAAATGCCACATATTAACAATCAGCAGCTTTAAAGGCCTCAACGCGTTCTTTTCTTCTAACTTTGCTGCTCTTTTCAACAAGTAGATGACCAATGACTGACTTCTTCAGCACAAACTGTAAATGTACACTAAACTGTATAAAAGAAATGTAAAAAAAATAATAATACAGTAATATTAATTACTAATCTACTTCTATCAACTGCTCCCTTTAGGGATCATCTGCTTCCATCTCACCATATTCCAGCATCCTCTACTGTCAGATCAACCCTCTGCATGTCCTCCTTCACTACCATCCATGAAACTTCTCTGTGGTCTTTCTCTTTTCCTCCTGCTTGGCAGCTCCTTGTTCATCATCCTTTGTCCAATATATCCACTATCCCTGCTCTGCACATGTCCAAACCATCTCAGCCTTGCCTCTCTAACTCCTATCTTGGTCATTCCCAATGAAAATTTTAACATCTTAGGCGCGCTCTCCGTTCATTTGGTCAGTTCCGCCAAAATCTTCAAACCATACATCATAGAAGTCCCCACCATCTTATGAACCTTCCCCTTCACTCTTGCTGCTATCTTTCTGTCACAAATCACTGCAAACACTAACTCCACCCTGCCTACACTCTCTTATAAAGCTCTCTGGTGTACTGTGTGTTGCTTTGGATGACTGACAAATATTTAAACTACTCAAGATACACTACCTCTGCTCCTTGCGTCTTCACTGTTACATCATATATTCTGTTTTGCTTCTCTGTCTTACTACAAATCACAGTCTTATTTGTAAACATCAGTCCACTGAGGCTACTGCCTGACCTCATCTGTCGACCTGCAAGTCTCTATTGCCACCACCTTACTGTCCTCATACATGTACTACACTACCCTCACATATTTCTCTGCCGTTCTTAAAGCAAAATTCTATAGTGCCTTAAGGTCTTAACCAAGCTTCATCAACTCTTTCCTACAGCTTCCATCAACTGTATGACTACAAACAGTAATAATATAATATAATATAAGCCTCACCACTTGACCGTAAAGCTCCTTCAGCTTGTCTGTCTGCTCAGGAGCACTCTCGATGGTCTTCAGGGAGCTCTCCACTCTGTTCAGCCGGTACTCGCAGTAGGCCTTCTCAAACACCACCTCACTGAGTGGAAAAAAGACCCCCACCCACCCCCGAAAAAGGGTTTAAATGTGCAACACACCATAAAGAACAAACCTTACAAGACTTTTGTAAGTTTTTCTTAGAGCATGGCAGAATTGCTGTGAAACTATACACCGTTAGACACTTAAATGTCAACAGTGAACTACAGGAGTAATTTATACGTGAGTGACAGCGTGCCGCTTACCTGCCGAGCACCTTTGAGTGGGTGTTCATCACATTTAGCGCCTCTTTGAAGCTCCCATTCTGGATAAGGCAAACCACTTTACAGTGCAGTGCCGTCACATCGTCCCTGTTTTCGTGTAAAACTGCGACAAGACAGAAAGAAAACAGCAGTGAACATCACTCGCTACGAACAAAAAAAAAAAAGATTTCGCCCTGACACTGATGTGATTGTGCAAGGACAGAAGAGGAGTGTAAAGCAGCCGCTTAACGTTTCCAGGACAGCCGCCTGGCTAATCATGGGTTAGCTGTCGTGGTTGGCTAGGGACACGTCAGTCATGAGACAGTGGGTTTAGGGGGCTAAATATTATTTAACAATGGCTCAAAGTCACGCAACAAGTAGCTAATTCAGCAGGTATTATATATTTATTATATTCATTACACATCGTTAATCAGAGCTTAATACACGAAGCTCCACGGGTGTATTTAACACCCTGACTGCCGTTAGCTCGGACACATGCTAACAGCTGGTGCTGCTCTGCGGGAACAGAGGGGAAAATCCGCCGCGTGTCCGCTCTCTGGTTCCATTTTCAGAGTCAGCCTGTATACCTACTTTTAGTGAGAGCTTTGAGGGCTCTGGTGTAGTCTCCATTCTGTCCGCAGCGGTTGACTTCGGTCCAAAGCGAAGCCACAGATACTCCACCACTCGCCATCTCCGCTGAGTGGACGCTCTCGGTGCCGGAAACAGAATGTGTTTACATCCGGGACAGCAACAAATACGTTTATTAATTTTAAAATAATTTCTATGCGGAATAAATGAACCGTAGTCATAAATTGGGACGCTCTTCCAATGTTAATAAAAGCCTACTATTTGGGGGGCATGTAGTTTTTAATTTCAAAATGACGCATGCAACTGACGCATTCACGGCTTACCCTACTACACGTTAAATTGAAGTGCAAACATAGTACTTTATATTAAACTACATTTATTAGCCTACACATTAAGGAAATGATATTTATGAATAATTTTGGAGGAGTTTATAGAATTCTAAAACGGACAGTTCTGCGGTGTCAGTGCTTTTAATTTGGGTGCTTTTAGGACCGTAGTGGTAATAGTCAGAATTCCTACATTTGTGTCAGCATTGGAAAGTAGCACGGTGGGCAGGGTAGGAGCTACGGCGGGACTCGGTTGGCTTCGGTCGGACTCGGCTACCGAGCAAAGGAGGAGGGACTGTTGTCATTCGTCCGGGCTGTGTGGCGAGCTTTTGTCCAGCAGAGATGGCCGGGATTAAAGGTAAGCAGCAGGAGATTTTCATTCCCTTCAGAAAGCTTCTGAACTCAGCCTCTGTTTATATAATTTCAACAAAATGTGCACAAGGCATGTTTGCGCGTTTGTCACGCTCAGATAAGTAACGATAGAAGGAGTTAGCGCAGGGCCAGTACTGACAGACGTTAGCATTAGCTCGGTGATGAACCTGCACTGTTTCGGTAGAAGCAACCGCAACCGCAACATGACAAAAATAACCAAACCAACTTCTGCGTTTCGTAATGAAAACAATGTAGCAGTGCAACGTGCTGCATTCTTGCGCCACAGTTAACGCCATTCTTGTTTAATACTACAACAACGCAGAAATAACCGTACCGCTAATGCTAGCTGCGCCTTAACTTCCCACAGCCGCTGACTGATTCCAGGCAGCCCCTGGGATTTTAATAGAATTTAACCAGTGGCCGCACGGACTCTATGGCTGTCTGGATTTAACGTGGACCCATGTTAGCAGGGTTTATGCTGCTAACGTAGCTGTCACACACGTGAAATCAGCTGATTCATCACATGGTAGCCCCAAATCTCCAGGGGCCCTGCAGCCACCATGAGATTAGTGATTTCCTGTGGATATACCCTGTTCTAACACTGGGGTCCCCCTATCCTCTGCTTCTCTTGCAGCTCTCATCAGCCTTTCCTTTGGAGGGGCCATCGGCCTCATGTTCCTCATGCTTGGATGTGCCCTCCCTGTGTATGAGTAAGTATAACCATCACAGACCATGTGAGCCTAGTACTTCCTGGCACCTTTGATGATCCCGTCACAGCTTTAACTATAGCTGCATTCATGACCAGATTAGCGTTCTTAGAACATCTCGAGCATAAGAACACCATATAAAACCAGGGAAGTGTGACAGAACCTGACCACTTTTAGTGGAGGAAAGCAGGATTGCATTAAATTAAGCAATTATCAGAGTTACAGGCTCTTGAAGTACATAAATGTGGGCTGGAATTTGGCACTTTTAAATTTACTTTATTTTCTCATGCCTTTTTGAACAATCATAACTTCAGGTTAAATGTGACTCACATCATCTTCACATGTCACCCCCCTCCTAAAAAAAAGAATAACAAAAAAATAGAGGTAAATTCAACATACCCAGGATATCTTTACCTTTTGTGGCTTAATTCATCCTAACATTGCCAATCAGATGTAGTGGTCATATGAAGCTGTTTCATGATTAAATAATCCTGGTTTTTCAGGTCTATGAATGTACACTGGCAACAAACGGAGAGAAAATGATCCTAGTGGAGAAGAGTGAAGAGGTTAAACATATGATGTATGCGATAGGAAAAGTGCTGTGTTAATGTGTTCATGTGGCTTTTAGTGTAAGTGCAGTTAGTGGTTTGTTAGACTGGAGAAACTCTACACATGCAGTCTGTGTAAAGACAAGATGGTAAACTGGAAAAAAAACATGTTGCACAATTATTTCGGGATGGGGAGATGTTGTAATAAAACTGTATCATTTTCATTAAATTGATGTGCTGCTTAGATGTTTCCCGATGGTGTTCAGGACAGTTTTAGTCTTATTCTTGAAGCTGGAATCTTGATGGTGTTAAATGTTCGAAAGGTGCAATTTAAACCAGTAAGTAGGCTGATTTACTGATGTTTTTATAAAAGTAAGGCTGTTCAGTTTTGAAATCACATTTATTTTGGCCATTAATGAGAAATGGTTATTTGTTAGAATTACTCACACTCTGGAAAAACAGTGGCTTTATTTAAAAGTACAAGCTTACTTTTTGCCATCAACGTTAGTTATAATTCACCTTAATAAGATAAATAATTAATTAAATATATGTGAACTGAACTAAACCTGTAGCAAAAATAAATAAGCATCTATCTTAGTTATATTGTTATAATAATCTGTGTATTATAATTTTAAGTGATGTGTAATTGCACAGCCTTAGTACAAAGCCTATTTTAGAATTATGGCACTTTATAAACACTTTTAGGTTAATATAAGTTCTTGCAGTTTGCAGGATAATTACACTCTGTACTTACAAGACAACCTGATCAGCTTTGTGTGTTTGCACACCATCACACCTCTTGGTTATTATTCTAATGAGTGCAGACAGTTTCTCATTTGCTGTATGTGGGATGAGCAACAGCAACATATTTGGCCTTTTTCATCTAATTTCCATTTCAGCCATTGTATTTAGAGTAAATAACAGCTTCACTTCAGCATAATGCGTATTTATCAGCCTATAAGTGACAAGAAAATGCGTAATTCCTTGGATATATATATAGCACAATGTTTTCCACACAGTTTTATTTTTACAGTTTTATTTTTTTTGTTCGTTTTTCATCAGTGAAATATCTCCCCAGGTACAGAGCTTTCTCGCAACTGTATAATAATCTAGCTCTTTGAGATTCTTGTCAAATTACATGCTAGTGTTAAAAACAATATAGATGGATATGTTTTTTGCAGGCCTGCATCTGATCTGTATTCAAATCTAGAGTTTACAGAAACGTAGCTCCTGCCTTATGAAAGAAACCCCTTAGGTTGGCGTGTGGAGTGCTCAGCAGCGATTCCTTCTTTATCCTTCGATTCACTTCACTGCATCCTTTGTCATCATAGCATGTGGGTGTTTATGCCCCCTGTTTCTCTCGCTTTTTCGCCTCTCTGCAGCAAATACTGGCCTTTGTTCCTGCTCTTTTTCTACATCCTTTCTCCCATCCCTTACTGTATCTCGCGGAGAGTGGTCGATGACACAGACTCGGCCAGTAACGCCTGCAAAGAGCTGGCTATCTTCCTCACGACGGGCATCGTCATCTCAGCTTTCGGCCTGCCAATCGTCTTCGCAAGAGCTGAAGTAGTAAGTAACTGAAACCTGTTAATTCAGCGTGTACTGCGTGGTTATTTAAAGCAGTGGTTCCCAAACCAAGGGTCTGGACCCTCTGCGTTGGGCTTACTTTAAATGTTCTGACTTTTGTCTGTTTTTCAAATTATAAATTACACACAACTATATAAGGGCTTAGTTTTAAGATAAGCTAAAAGCAACAGCAGCCAAAACATGAAAAAAAAAGTGCCTTGCTCAATAAAATAAATACAATGATATAAAACAAGATGGCTAAAAAAAGCTATACAAAAGTATCACAGAAGTATGGAAAAATGGTGAAAGCAGAAGAGCTCAGTTAATCAAAAATCTAAGTGTAAAACAATAAAGAGCTAAACTCTGACAGATAACTGCAGGTATAGTGTTGTGAGGTCATAGACTTCCTGTATCTTTCAGTATTTACGCCCAATGAAAGTGACAGTTTCATTGTGTGGTCAGCCAGCAGGGCTAATTATAAACAGATTATATTCACCATTAGCAAGTGATAAATGACTGCAAAGGTGCTGCAAACAGCATCCAGTGTTTCAAATGATTATCAGTTGTGCAGATAAATGCAGAGGTTCTGCAGTTCTCTATGAGCGCCATGCATGTAAGCACATCATTTCTTAGGGCATTTTATGTAGAGTGCTGGAGCTCAGTCATTAGTTTGAGGAAGTCTGATTTGACTTTCTGGTTCTTAGCAGTCTCTGTGGTTTCTCCAGCCATCCAAAAAAAGATAGTAGACTATATTATATGCAGTTTGCTTTAAAGCATTCATGACACAGCTTGTTGCAAAGAAAGAAAAAAATAATATCACCAATTTTGGGTTATTTTGGTTTTAAACTGGCTGAAAGCAGCCAGCAAAGGGGCCTAAATAACATAATCAGTTGAATTAATTAAAAGAACAGTAACGTATGCTATGAGATGATCAGGGTGCACAACAGCATATACAGTCTTTAATCTGATTTTTAAATATGATTTCTTAGTTAATGTTTACTGCACCAACTGATCGGACAATTTAGCAACTGCTAAATACCGCTTGTCAACGAGTCACCGCCTTGTTTCGTAAAAGGTGGAAAGCAGTGCCGCAAGGGTGTGTGAACGATTGTCCAACTTTAACTGTCAGTTCCTTTTTGTCCAACTCTGAAAAAGTACTTTGCACGTTAATGATTTAGAGCTGAATTCTACAGAAAGCAGGTGTTTAAATCAGCAAAATAAAATGTCTCAGTAACCCAAATAAGCTCTGTAGCATTCAGCATTCACCTGAATTTCCTTTGTCACTTTACAGATTGCCTGGGGAGCATGTGCGCTTGTGCTAACAGGTAACGTAGTCATCTTTGGGACGATCCTGGGCTTCTTCCTGGTCTTTGGATCCAACGATGACTTCAGTTGGCAGCAGTGGTAAAACGGCAGCTGGAGGGGGACCTTAGTCTGAACTGTTTTTATTAGCGTTACAATTATTATTATTATTATTATTACTACTACTGTTATGGTATTACCGTTTTTGGTTCTTGTTGTTATTTATATGATGACCGCCCATCCATAGACTCACATCAAACCAGTGCAATACTTTTTTTTTTTTTTTTTTTTTTTACCACTCACATCATGCTGAACTGACACAAGTGAGATGG